ATTGGTTAAGGAGAAAGTATATCCATAGGTTAAGGCAGCTGGATATTCTGGTTTGATTCTGTGACCAGTTTCCATTGATATCCGTTCCAGGAATAGTTCTTCCCTGTATTGTGGTGCAATGAGGATAAAATTCCATCACTTTATGCCACATAATGAAAACTGTGCAAGCCCCTAGATAAGACAAATGAAAATATTTAAGAGAGGAAACTGAAAGATGTGTCAAGGAAATTGCAAGGGGGCTGAACAGCAGAATCCAAAAATGTAACTTTCATTGTACTTTGACTTTTCTTCAGTTGCAGGAATGGCAATGGTCTTGAACTGTGAGCTGAACCACCTGAATCCCTTCCCCATCACCATTAAGAACATCATTAATTCAGAGGCTGGCAACTGGGACCTCATTGTTCTAGGAGATATGTTTTATGATGAGCAACTTGCTGATGGTCTGCATCACTGGCTGCGGAAATGCATCAGGATACAGGAAACTGAAGTGCTGATTGGTGACCCTGGCAGGCATCAGTTTTTAAGCCACAGCATTCGCAGTCATTTGCACAAAGTTATAGAATATTCACTTCCTGAGTATACTAGACAAGAAAATAATGGATTAACATCAAGTATAGTCTGGAGTTACCAGCCCTCAAACAGCTTAGAAAACTGATGAAGCTGGCTTTCTAATGAATTCTGTCTCACTTGGTTGGCTTTTTTGTAAGTATGTAAAAAGAAAATGGGAATTAAACGTGGAACATACCTGTTGATGCAGAGTAGGTTACTGTACCTTCACTGTACTGATTTCAGTCATACTCACTGAGGCTTTCACTCCGTTTGATGTAAAAACTACATGCAGCAAACTATTCAAAGGGGCCTGCACTGAAGTGCAAATCCAAAGACAAGATACACATACGAGTTTGCATGCTTGATGTTTTTCATGTATATTAATGTCTTGCTCTCTGACACTACTGTGAAATGTTTTGGACATCAAGCACACTGCTGTGGGGAGAAGGCAGTGGCTGAAAGATTGCTGCTTTCACAGACTTTTGCAGCTTATTTACAGAGGCTGTGGGGAGAAGGCAGTGGCTGAAAGATTACTGTGCTGCTTTCACGGACTTTTGCGGCTTATTTACAGGGAAAATTATTGCTGTTCTTCACATACATCTTTCCACTAGATTATTAGCTCATACTATGCTCAACTTAAAGTGCCTTGCTCTATTTTCTGGATATCTCTTCTGAATGTCGAAGTAACTAATTTGAATCTCTCCTTCCCCTCTATAATAAAAATTTACTCTTCCTTGAAACTGACAGAGTGATTATTTAGGAGCTGCACACAAATCTAAAATATGCTTCTTGGACTCCAGCCAAATTTTTAGTAACTGGAAAGTAACTAAACAGTAACAGCTATAGGGTAACTTCATCCCCTAAAAAGTAGGGTCAAGTTATCTACATTCCGTAACGCTGCAGAGGTAAAAAAGGCAATTATCACCGTGGGAAGCTGGTGAGTGATAAATCTTTCCTTCTGTGATGTTTCTGAACAGAAGGTAACTAAATAAATACAGAGAATAAAAGTTTTATGTAATGATTTTTCTCTTTTCTCAGCTACATCTGTCAAGGAAGAACTCTGCAGTGGGGAAAAAAAAATTAAAAAATAATAAAAAAAATTTTAATTCTCAGCTACATCTGTCAAGGAAGAACTCTCTGCAGTGGGGAAAAAAACATATTAAAAAATAATAAAAAAAAATTTTAAAAGTGATCCACAGGTAAGAGACTGTGAATGCAGCCACTGGAAGAAAAAATCCCCAGTGTTTTCAGAGCAGTCTTGCAGGAACTGTCACCTTTAGCAGTTAACGATTGAACAAGCAGTGATGGGGAACTAACAACTGCAGAATGGAACACAGTGCACCTACCGCTATCCCAGTACCAGGTGATGGGGTAGAAGCTTATAAACATTAAAAATTATGTGGTACTCACTCAGAAAACCATGGTGTTTATGAAGTATGTTCAGATATACATGGTCATAAGATATAATTTAACAAGTTTTCAGAATGATACAAACAGAAGACTTACAAACTTTCATCTTCAGAACAGTGTGTGAATATTCTGCAGTGCTCACCCAACAATTTACACTAACACTATCCAAACACTACAGAATATGAAGTGGTAAGTGCATACATTATGTTCTTCTCCCACTTCCACTAGTGCTTGTAAACATATGTGGACAATGACAGTGATTTAACCTGAATAAAAACATACTCCACTCAAAAACAATATTCCAGTAGTTAAAGAGCAGACTGAAGCTCCAGCAGTGAAGGATTTAACGTGACTTACATTAAACTCAAACCCAAAACATACAGTGTTGACTCAGCTGCAGTGCTGTACAGATTTCTAAGCACAAGGTGAGGATATAGCACTAAGCTACACATTTAGAAAAGGCTAAAGGAGAACATGCATGTTTAAGGACAGAACGTAAGCTGCATTTGCCTTCAACATGACAAATCCAAGGTTAATTAGCAAGGGGGAAAAAGGACAACTTTGCCAGTGAGGTTAGCTGTAGCACCGTCCTACAGATAGATTTGTGTTTTTTTTAAAGTGTCCTTTGCTGTTACAGCTCTTGGTGGTCTTCCACTTTTAGCTGCTTTACATGTTTTCCACTTATATTTTTATTTCTGGATGTAGCACTTGAGACGAGAATCTGGTGACCATCACAGCATTGTGTTATAGTTACATGTCTTAAAATAACAGACTGAGGGAACTGGGCTTGTCCAGCTTGGAAAAGAGAAGGCTTCAAGTGACCTATGAGCAGCCTGCCCGTACCGATGAGGAGGCTTTCAGGTGACAGCCAGGCTCTTCCCGCGAGAAAGGGTGTAAGTTGAAACAAAACAGGGTCAAACAGGATAGAAGGAAAATTTTTTTCCACCATTAATATAGCCAAGCAGTGGAACAAGCTGCCTCAAAAAGCTGTGAAGACTCAGTCATCTTCAGTTTTTCAAGACTTGGCTGGATAAAGCCCTGACTAAGCTGGCCTGAGCTGGCCCCGCTTTGGGCAGGAAGTTGGACTAGAAACCTCCCGAGGCCCCTTACCACTTGAGCCAGCTTACAGTTCTACTTATGCTTTTTGGGACACCTTCCTGAAACCAGGGCTGGCAGCCTCGTCCTTTATGCTTTACTTATTTGACACAATTACTGAGCGTGCCATTGCTGCTGCCTGATCAGCTAGATAGAGCAATATGAAAACAGTGCAAAAGAAATGTATTGCCAACTCATGTCCAAGAGTTCAAAGGAATGATAGGCCTTGACTGATACCAGGGATTCCACAGGGCAAAACCATAAACTACTCTTTAGCCAAAAAAGTGAATAAAATGTGGTAGATTAGGTTCTTGGGCCTCTATCTGGTCCAAGGATTTTCTACAATTACAGCCTTCAGATGCTAGTTGCTCATGCAGCAAAACCAACTTCTCCTGTTTGCATCACAGGGCTGAGCCACGGTACTGCATACAACAAGAGTTAGGGATTTAAGCACTGGACTTTGAAATTTATGCTTTCAGTTACAGTTGAACAAGTTTTCTAAATGGACTTGTTCTTCCATAAACCATATAATCAACAAAAAAACAGAGATTATTCTCAGACATAATAATATCCTTTAATATTACTGGATGCAACATATATTATATTGTTATCTTCCATGCAATTTGACCTGACCTTTAAATAGACTAGTAGAAGACTACTTTATTTCTGCAACACTTAAAATGAGTGTGGCTATGACAAGTTGACAAGTGTTAAATTACAAAGTAAACTTATTCCTTATGGTTGCCTAAACTCATGGGTTTCTAAGTGTCACCAGATCCACGTAAGACCATCCTAGCTAAACCCTGCTCTTTCCAGATGTGGAGTATCAATATAGTGTGCTACCTGCCCTGTATAATGCTAGAACTGCTATCACTTAGAAAAGTTTAATGTAGAAATCATGTAAGTCTCACTAGAAGTTATGCTGTTTCAAGAAAGCCAATGAACATGACTTATAATTGTGATGAGATCACTGCTCCATCATGTAATAAATTCATTCTGCACTTCTATTTTTTTTCTTTAATATGACTACAATTGAACAATATATAAATGGTTGTTATTTTCATCTTCTGGAGGCCACTGGAGATACAATAAATCGCATACAGCAGAACACATACTCTGCTAAACTCTACCATCCTGAGATTCATGTACTCAGACACTAAGTTTGGTCCTATTTCACTCACAGCTATGCTTATGAGGACCAATGTTTTGGTCCTTAGAAGGATCTTCATGCAGGAACATAGGCAAAAGCCAGAGCAAACAAGTACTGCCCATATACAAGATTCTTTTATTGGTCATAGCTACTACTCTGACATTTTTTTAGTCGCTGCAATAATTTCAAGGCAATTTTATGTTTACATATTCACAGACTCTACTTTTGGATGTGTAGAAATCCAGCAAGTATTTGATGGTCCAGCAAGTATTTAATGGTAAATAAAACCAGAAACCTGCAGCATCAGTAACATCAAAACAAAGGTACCTACAGTTTTCCTTCCAGACCCAGCAGAAGTACACGGTGAAAGGAGACTGTTCATTACTACTTAAAATGCCACCTCCATTCACCAGTTTTCTGTCAGCTTTTGTCAGATTGAAGTCCCAACTTTACAGGCACTTCTGCATAAGTGTTAACACTATGTTTGGGCTCAGTACTTTTAGTGGCAACTACCCTCTCAGACTACAAACTCTGAGAAATTACTAAAATTTGGTTTGTAGCTACAGTGCTAAGAGATGCCAAGTAGTGGCCAAACCTGCTACTTCAAGGAGGCTGAGTGATAACAGTGTAACATTAGTTACAGTTTAACTTTCCTCTGCATGAAGTATGATCAGCGATGCAAAGACAGACAGGGCTCTAAGTAGAGACAATGGGAAGCCCAGACTCACAGGCAAGGACCGGAATGGCAACAGAGACCTCTAGTGAGAACAAGGAGAGAAGCAACCTGGCAGTACAAAAGTCACCAGCCATTTCTCCAAGGTGCTTGTTTTCTGAAAGAGCTCTCCCATCTGTAAACTTTACACTCATATGTATACAATAAATAATCAGTAAACAGTCCATGTTACTTGCTTGATTTTGTTTGATATGACTAGCTCCTCTAAAACATCTCTGGAACGATCTGCAAAAGAACCAAAGAATTTCTTGTTAATCATTCACAGTACATATAGGTGGTGTTTAGAAATTAGGTAAACAGCAAAAGAATTCAATTCATATATCTGCATTTATGCTTATTTTGCTATTACAATATCACAGCTCAGATATACCTGTAGTAATTCAAAACCACTTGGTTCTTTCTCCAATCACATAACTGTAAAGCATCACCAACCACCAAACTTAAAAAATCCCAAGATACATCATAACCTCTCTTAAGTTTGGTTGCTTGGGGTTTTTTTTCAGGCTGACCAGTCCCACTCCATTCCACTGTTTCTTGAATGGATGCTGTTCCATTCTTTCAGAGCAGAGTAGCAGTTTGAGATGCTAACATATTTTTCTGAAGTCTTATAATCAACCTCAGGTCTTCATCAGCATGTTGATGAGGAAAAAAAAAAAAAATAAATAAAAAAGGAAAGACAAAAATTCCAAACTCCAAAGCAACAAAAAAATCCCTCTCTGAAGGCTGCCGTATTTCAAAGCAAAACTCTCACCTTGCTTTGAAAATTTCAGTGTATGATTATTATTTTATCTGGTAAGTTATTATTTGTTTGGGATTATTTACAAAGTACATTATGCTTTTCCAGAAAGCAAGAAGATACTATCAGGAAGTAGTTACTCTTCATACTCTCTGTGTGATTTGTTCTACCTGTTATCAATGGGCATCCATGGAACAGAAAAATGTGTATCTTCGGACAACAAGTCAGGACCGCTTCCACAGCGACATCGGTCAGATTCACACACCGTTCCATGTGGATCTCCTGTCACCAAAACACAAACCTGTCAGAGCACCCATAGTTTTGGAGGCAGAGCTTTCCTTTGCCCAACCATTTTCAGAGATCCCCACCCAGAAGAAATTATGATCTACTGCTCCTCTGTGCACTGACCCCATATGTGGTCCTGTACAGACCACAAAAATACCCTCAGGAAAAATAAGCCAGCTTTTCTATGAAGAGTCAAAACAAAACCCAGAAACCCGAGTTTTCCCAAAACACCTGTATCATTCAAGATAACAGAGAAAACTCTTCAATGAGATTCTATGGTGTTTGAGTCCCATGTGTGTTTTCCTATGGCACATTCTCCTAGCAATTTGCTGTCCAGGAGGACAGAACCCGAACTGAATTCTGGGGTTTCAAAAAACAGGCAGGATTCATGAATTTCTGCTGAAGTTCCTAATATCTATCTATCTATGTGTCTACATAGTTCCTAAAAAAAGTCTAGGAACTTCTACAAAGACTAGACTAAAACCCGCTCTCTTCTTCATTTCTGTGCAGTTGTATAACTAGTACCTGTTGTATGTGCTAGAGAAAGAATATATTCAGAATAAATTAACAGATTATTACTAGCTTTTTTTTTTCTCTCCCTCTAAACTGCCTTACGTATCAATAAATATAACAAGAATAAATGCAGAAAAGAGACTAGCAAATCTCATGAAAACAGGATTCGGGAAAATATACTTTGGGGATCCTGGGGTAAAAATAAAAAAAACCCCTATTGTTTTATTGTGAGAGTGTCTTTCCAAATGATAAACTTCAAGGATCTTGAAAGAGTACAGAAATGAAAGGGACCTTTTGTAGTAAATGCAACTTTGTACAGAATGGTGACACAGAAAACAAGAACTGTATTCACAGAAGCGGGAGATACAAAAGCTGGTACATGTATAGTTTTTAGTTCATTCTAATAAGTAACTGAAATGTGGAACCTGAATGCCTCTGAATGAAGAAAGAAGATTTATAAATCTGCCTGCTAGTTACAGTTTGAGAATTTTAAGACCCTACTTTTTTCACTGTGTTCCTGACATTAGATCATTGTCTATAAATTTGTATTTTGATGACATGAGGTATGAGGATTGCAACACAGGCAAGGAAAAGAGTTACACTGAAGAAGAGATTGTAGCAAATAATTCCACATTCTTTACTAAATTTCTTTTTCTTACTGCTTGTAAACCAAGAGACCTAAACCATTCTAGCTGTTCATACTGACAGAACACAACTTACACAGCTTTTGTTTTTAAAATTGTCACTCCACAAAAAAAAAAAAAAAAATAGCCCTATTAAAACTGCACAGACGCTCCCCCCCAGAAAAACCCCCCCAAAAAACACCAACGAACCCAAATGCGAAAGCTCTTAAACACATGGCTCTTAAGTAAGTGTAAACAAGTATTGAGCACAAGAAAACAAACAAGCAAAATCCATAATACTATTCAGTCTGGCATGACTTAAATTTCCCCTTAATTCTTCTGAAATCAAAGCTTACCACCTCAACATTACTTTCTCGAACACTTATGGATGAAGCAGGTCTTATGTATGCTACCTAACCTGTTCTTTCTGATCTAGTACAGCTCCTGCAGGCATCCAAGCACAGCACACACAAAGGAAAACCCACGCACTTTCAAAGAAAGAGTAACTACAGCAATGTGACCGGGAAACACCAAAAGCCACATTTTGTAAGCTGGAAATTTATATTAAAAATAAAAGAAAATGCATTTCTATGGTTTGAAGAAAAAGGGGTTACACACAAGAATATAATTCTCTGTGAACTGCAGCAGTGATAATACAGAAGAGGGAAGACAATACTGACAGAGTAATTATACCCACATTGCTGGAAAATGGTTCAAAACCTTCTAGGAACTTTACTGAACCCTGCTCTACTTAATAGCAAAACAAAAACATATTACAATAAAATTATGAAAGCTAATTACAATATTTGCGGTTTAAGACATGTACTGAAACTTCTGAGAGTGACCCAGTCCAAATGACCTTATCCAAATCACAATGATACACACTGCTTTACATTGGTAGGCTGGATATGAAAGGTGTCCTATGAGGATTATCTGCATAGTCTCAGGGCTGTTTAGAAAACCTGGAAGCAACATTTTGCTACAGCTAAAGGTGTAACCAACTAAAACACAAAGATATTTTCAAGTCACTTCTAATATATATATATAAAAAAAAAAAATCTCTCATTTCTGTGGTCTGACAAAAAATATCATAAATCTCTCATTTCTGTGGTCTGACAAAAAATAATATCATCTTGTACCACAATACTTATCAAGACTAAAAAGACTGTCCAAAATACACAAAATCAGCTGGGAAAAAAACCCAAAACCAAATCTAATTGTTCGCCCTCCAAATAAAACAGTAACAGTTCAAGTTATTAATACTGTCAGTTGACCTAGATTTGGTATTTTGTTCAGGATTGGTTCTTTTATTAAACACACTAAACTAGCAAAAGCAGGACTTGTTCTCCATCTTAGTTTCTAGATGAACAGCTTGGATTCAGAACCAGCCGTTACAGAAGCAAAGACACACACAGGTAAGAAATGTACTATACAGAGAAGCAGAAGATCATTTATGGTAAGAGGTACGTGATGCTTCCCCAACATTTCATCACTGTCTCAGTGCTTAGAGAATCTTTATGCAAAGGCAACAACAGTTGCTTTAATGAGTTAGAGATTTACCTAAGCAGAGGTGCTAAATGATTTCTTAAATCCATGAAATTAGCCACATTATAGATTCTGCCTCAGTGTTCAACAGAATCAAGAAATAACTCCAAAGAAATCAAGGGGAAAAAGTTAAGCACTCATTTGCATTTATTATTGTATTTATTATTCATACTGCATTTAGCTCTCTAAAATCAACATGAGGTAAATTAACATTCAAAGAAGAAAACTCATTTTGAAAAGACAGGTTCTCAAAAAGCTGGTCTGGGGCACTGCTACAGAGACAGAAAATACTCAATTCATAACCAAAATCAAGGCAAGTGTGTACACAAAGGCAAAATTCAGTGAATAAAAACTATCCCTCTGAAGTAATACTGACAATAATAACTAAAAATTGCAGGTATTTGCTTTTATTCATTTATTTGTTATCAGGTTAAGTAAGTTACCTTTAAATTCTCTGAACATGTCCCACTCACTAGTGCTACAACGCCATCATCTGTTACCTAGAGGAAAATAAACCCACATTAACACAATGGATTAAAGCTCAGTTTTTTCAAACACAGCTATTTGGGGGAGAAAAATAAAAAAATCTACATTAATGTCTCCACTCCCTGTAGTCACTGAATACACTTAAATTACAGTATTTTCTTCCCAACTAAGCCTGTAGAGAGAATTATCCAAGTATGTTTTTTTCAGTCTGTTAAACACTGTTGAATTTTACTGACGTGATTGCGCCTGGCTTCCTACTGGGATGTTTCCAGCTGTGTAACTGCTATTTCTGCAGCTTCCTTGTCTCATTTAACAGTGGCTACACTATTGTGGTCATAGGATGACACTTGTACTTTATAAGGTTTAAAGCACTCATGCTCTACCTAGACCAATTTTTCTCCTGTTTTTAGGACTGCTGGACACGTTCCTGAGGAAAGTTTGTTGGGTTGGGTGGGGGAAAAAATAAAAAAAGGTAAACACAGCATCTTACCTGCCATCTTACTTTTACTTATCTGGAAGTAAACCAGTTATGTAAGACAAAAACCCCTCAAACAAGCAGTCTCCCAGCAGTCATCATACACTCATATTAAAAGGTTTATCAAAGTGATTGGCTACAGACAGTCATGAAGCAACGACTACCTGCAAGAGGAAGTAGAGAGATGAAGTACTGAGGCCTGAACAATAGGTCCTGAACCAAAGCTTACCTCTAGATGGACCTCACAACCAAACGTTATATAACGTCAGTATCTGATCATTAGCAAAATATGTATGAAATATAGATAAAGTGTCATGAGAATGTATTTATCTTTTCTTGTTTAAGGCTATGTTGTCAAGGCCATGAAACCAGGTGTCTGGCCTTGTTTGGAAGTATGTGGTCAAAGCTGAGTAGATAAAGAAACTCCCTTGGTTCCTCCTCGAGCCCTAGGCAGGCTTTGGGTAGAATCCAAAAGGAGAATGAAACCAGATGTTTCCACACTTGATGTTATGTGAGCTTGTTTATTCAACTATATACAGCTGGACCCTCTTGCAGTGACTTTGGAGACCTCACGTATGGATGGATGCATCGTGTAGGACCTCCCAACTGCCAGGAAAGGGTCTCTAAATCCTCGCTGTAACCGGGGCTCCCCAGGGACTGAGGATCTGGATGATGGTTACACATTAGGGCAATTGGTGATGCATCTCTGAATCACTATGACTTTTTCTGTGCAGTAACGACCAGATGCATTGCCTTATTTCTTATCTCTTGCTTACTTTCTGCATTACCTTGAAACAGACAGTAAAATAAGCTCACTCTTTTACCTTGGTGTCTGTGTCCTTTCTGCTAACCCCACCAATTGGCAAAACAAGAGACAACAGACATTCCTTCCCTTAGAAAGGCAAGGAAGGCAAATTTATTTGTTTGCTTCCAGGAACCAAACTCATTAAACTTTCTCCCCACTTCAAAAGCTGGATTGGATACCAGATCCAATTTTTTTCCAGGTTTTTTCATAGAGCTTATATTAGATGGCAGGGACAGTAGTTATCAAATATACACACAGTAAGGCTCAGCCCAATCTGACAGCTAGAATCCAGAGACCACAAGCTCCATTTCTGTTTAAATATTTAATTATTCCCATTGCACAAATTGTCTGACTGCCTTCTGGCCCTCTGCTGCAAGTCTACTTTACAGAACTGTAATAGAAAGGGTCAAATCAGTAGGAACAGAGAATGGACTGGAACATCCCAGCATGGAAGCGCACAAAGGCCTGTAAGAACAGCAGGTATTGTCAGTACCTAGCTTAGCAGGTCATCAAGGTGACAGCACATCTAACTCCTCAAGACACAACACACAGACCAGGAGACAAAAGGCAGTAAATGAATAAATTCTAATAACTCTCGTAGGTGGGACAGAATGGAGAGAGCAATCACTGTCAGTTGCAAAAGGGTTTAAAACAGCATATCCAAAACCAGCACATGCTCACCAACCTAAGACCAGCCCGAGTAAAGTGATAAAAATTGGATACCTTGTGCCCCTTATCCTCCATGCCACCAAAACAAACCTGGACCAGGCTGCCTGGTTGGTGCCTGAACACTCACCACAGCCCAGTGATCAGGACAAAGTGAACAGCATCCCATCCGTGTCAGTATTAATTTCATGTTACAAATGCAGGCTGATGCAGAGGAGAGCAGGCAGGGGAAGGGGGAAGATGCAGGCAGGCAACAGCACACAAAGACAGCACTGCCCGACACCTCACAGCCCTACACCTCCAAACTGTACTACTGCCTGACAGGCTGCAGTCCTGGAGCCAGGGCAGCAGGACCCCAGGAGCTCAGGGAGGGCTCCAGAGGGACCATCTGAATGCTGCTGGCCTGATGCTTGTGAACATACAGTTACCACAGCCTGAGAGCATGAAAACAGTTTTGTATAAAAACCTTGAGGCATTTGGCTCCTTTGTGGTCTCTCTCACAGCTGCTTCCTTGTTCCTGCAAGTGAGCTGGGCCCTTCTCTGCTTTTCCATTTATTTCCAACACTCTCACTGTTTTACTATAACACACAGCTTTGCCAGTTCCATTTGATATTTTTACTCTGCATTCTGGCAATCAAACACAAGAATATGGTTAGGCCTTGCAATCTCTACAGGCATGAGCCATCCACAGTTTCTCTGCTGCATCTTAAACTTACTTCATTTATATCTAGTATGTGTTTCCATATATTTTTAGTCAAATGAAATTCAGAATTCTAGTGCATTATCATTACATGATTATCAGAAAGGGAAAAAAATGTGGAAATGTTTAGTTACTCAAGAACTCCATCTCATTTAAAACTTACACAGGGAGACTTAGCTATTTCCTACAAAGGCAAGAGAGCAAAAAAATAATGAAATAAGTTTGAAGAAGTAGAGTTAAATGATAAAAATGAAAATTACAAAAAAAAAAAAAAGATTAAAATTACTTTTGATGCCCTACTTTTGAAAAAACTGAAAGAATAAGAATAGCATCTAAAATAAGAACCTACTACATGTTTTCTAGATCTGACACTTCATTACAAATGCTCCGTGCTTGACTCACATTCAACATAATCACTCACCATCAGAGTCAACTGAACACTACACTTACTGCAAGAATCCCTGCCCCCAGGTTACCTTACTGTCATTACGAAGTACGTTACAGTACTGGTGTTGCAGCTGATTTCCCCCTTCTCACGCTAAATACCAACTGTTGTTACATCCTCTTACCTGCCATTTCTGATATTGCAAATGCCATTCTTTCTGTGTTGACTCCATAACATAACTCTGGCAAGCAATTCAGAAAGCACAGTCACTCCTGAACCAGAACTAGTTATGGAGTGTTTACTTCTACTAGTGGCTTAGATTGCTTGATGTTCTGTATTATTATTATTATTCAGGTCAGTTTGTCCTAACTGAAAGCAGACAATAACCTGCCCAAGATTCTACTTTCTTTATATTAAATATTTTTGATTACTTTACAACTTTAAGAAAATGATTGCTTAATGAAATCATTTATCTATTTAATATAAAGATACTGAAATAAAATCTCCAATGTTAGGTAGATTCTAATAAAAGTTTATCTTTGGTCCACAATACATGCTGTAATACTAAAACGTGTATTTTTCTAGTTACCGAGATGCAAAATATATCTTTCCTTTTCCTTAAGAGGAGGAAAAGTGGAAGTGGTCCTAAATCTTGTCAAGAGTAGAGTTAAAGAAAAATCTCCTTTCAATTTTATTATGACAATCTTAAAAAAATAACCAAGCAAAACTCAATTAGCCAATTGCCACCATAATTACCTGCGTAGATGAAAAGTCCACACTGTGAAGAAATTTGCAGTTTTCTCCCAGTGCCTGCAGAGATGCATCCATGATGCCTGAACAGCTGCCCAAGTTCACTATTTGCAGGAACTGGCAGTTGAGCGCAAGAGCGAGAACTCCACTGTCAGTTATATCGCAGCACCTTTTAAAAGACGCCTCACGTAAGTAAGGACAGGATAAGGCCAGAGCTGTGACACCTGTCAAAGAAACAGAGCAATTTCAAGACACACTCATTTTTTTAACATAACCACCACACTGATTCCAATATGCTGTTCCCTGGTCACTGACTGTTCAACTTTCATCTCATGCCATGCCAGCAAGACTCTGTACAAGGAAATAATTCTGTGGCTGGTTTCTTTTAATTCAAGGATGGGAAAAAGAAAATTACAATGAACAATGCTAGAGTTGATAAAAATTTCTAAATGCTGAATTCCCCTCTATACTGCAGAGGGATACCTGAGGGATAGGATATACATGATATATATGATTCACATACCTCACTGAATGCATGGAAAAAAGCCAATGGCTTGAAAGCAGACTGATAATAGTGCTGGGTTCCACTGATGGTGCCCTGAATATCAGGTAAAAAGCAAGCTAAGAGCTTGTGTCCAAGGTCAAGTCAAGAAATCAAAGCAATAGGTCAGAAGCATGACAGGAAGCAGGTACACCTGCGACATGTCAGGCCAGGACTGACCACAGGCAGCCGATGCAGGTGGGATGGGTCATGACCATTAGGGTCTGTCGGTGCCCTCAGAGCCCTGACAGTTAGTAGTAACCAAAGTACTTGCATAGAAGTCTCAGGAAGTGGTCAACAAAATAAAAGTACATGAACTACAGATGCAATTTGTGAAAGGAATTTATTTAAAGGATGATGGAAACATGATGATTCCAGCTGTACAGAAATTTACATTTACTCTGGATAGATAGAAGAGTGTTATTAAGATATATTACTGTGTAAGAACTTCAAAGAAACATGGATAAAATAGTTCTTGCTTGGGTCAGAATAATTTTGCAAAGAATGATAGAAGAGACAGAATTTGACAGATGAATATGACAGAGAAGTAAGTACTACTGGATATTGTATTAAAGGACACTAAACACACAATGGGCAACCTACAGAGCAAATGTTTTCTAGTAATGACAGGGCTCAGATATTTCTGGATGTGGTAGCCAGCAGGTTTCTTAAAAAACAAAACAAACCAAACCAACAAAAAAAAAAATCCCACCAAAAAACCCACAAACCACAACGTAAAACCCCAAGCAAACCAATCAAAACCCAAAAAACTCTCACCTGTTACTGAATTAGTAAAAGGTAATACTGTTTTAAAATGGGGTGGCTTTGGGTCTTTTTTTTCTGTATGTCATTGAGATGAGTGATAAAGAAGTGTCTCAGCTTAAATTAAAGGCTTCATAACTGATTCTCAGTTTACAAAGAGCTCAGTTTGTAAGTAGGAAAGTTAGTAAAGTTGGACGGACTAGGAACTTGCCAATAAGGAACTAGACTTCCCAGTTGTAACTGCACAGTAACCAGGAGTCTTTATCCAAACAGATGAAGAGATCTAGGCCTAGCTGGTACCTTAAGAACCACACTAGAAATGAGAGGACAGATGAAGGCACGGAGGGAAGACCATCACAAACTGTATCTTAGGGGTTAAAAAGTACAACAATGAGGAGACATTGAAAATAAATAAAGTCAATTTTTTAAAGTTTAATCAATTACTTAAGTAAAAAGATAAGTGTATCACTATGCAGCGGTAAGAAAATACAAACCAAGACTGATCTACAGTACTGTATACATCAGCTCAATACTAAATTAGTACTTTGTCTCAATTTTCAATAAGGATGAGTTAATGATGGAGGAAAGGAGTAAGTGTAAGCAAAAGACAAAATAAAATTCACGGGAGATAAAACTCAGCAAGCTTTCTTTTAAGCTAGTAACTCCTCATACAACTTGGAACTGGAGGTTAGAAGTAACACCTGAAGTGTTAAAGTGAGTCAAGTCTTAAGTCAGAGAAGATGCTATAAGCTTATTTAGTAACAAATATATTTAATTAAAAAAGGAGAGGAGAGTAATTCAGGGAATTAAACAAGCCTGAAACTTCAACCCCAGTGGTACTGGTAAGGCTCTGGAACAAGTTTTGAGGAAGGAATAATTAAGATGAAGTGGAAAATACATAGTGCAGTTTTACCAGAAACCTAGCATGACAGTAACCTGATAGCTCTCTTTCACAGGATAATCAATGCTCTAAGCCTATAATTTACACCACTGAAGTGACTTTTAATTAGTACTGGTGTGGCATTGGGGATTTTTTTAAGCAATGTTTACCATAAATATTTTTTTTGCAATTTACTTCAATCTAACAAGAAAAATAAAACAGAAATAAGATCCCAGTTATCTGTACACAGATAACATACCTTCTGAAGTGATTCCCAATCTGTTTTCTCTGCAAGAATTTAAGTTGATTTTTTTCAATTGCTTGCAGTTATAAAGCTGCAATAACGCATTATCTGAAATATCACAGTCTCGGAGGTCTAGAGACTCTACAGCTGGGTGCAAAACCTGTAACGAAAACCTGCCATTTCAGTCAAACTCTGCTATGTCATAGAACGTGCATACTTTTATCTAAAATACTTGTAACGTTAGACCTCACATAGAACTTTCAAAAAATACTCACTAGAGGATGGTGTTACCTGTCCCAGGAACTAAAAAAGAAAATATTTGCCACAACAGTTCATCTCCTACAGCACGAATGTTCAATTTCTGTGATCACATCTGGAGTAGGAGACATTAACACTGCTATTTAACCAGTGGAAGTGTGACTTTGATGGTACAGTTGCTAACACTAGTGCTTCTGCCAGAACAGGTATGTTTACCAAGGATAATACCCTCAAACTTACTAGCACAACTTTGATGGCAGAAATCTGAATAGAATAGACTACTGCAGTTCAGAGGGACCCACGACGATCACCTGGTCCAACTGTCTGACCAAAATTCAGGGCTGAGCAAGAGTTAAAACACTGGTCCAACTGTCTGACCAATTCAGGGCTGAGCAAGAGTTAAAACCTGTTGTTAAGGGCATTGTCACCTCTCCAGGAAGCCTGTTCCAGGGTTTGACCACCCTCTTGGTAAAGAAATGCTTCCTGAAGTGTACATAAATATTGTGATCAAAACTTAAATCTGCTGAACAGATAAGGGTAAGATTTGAAAGATATTTTGCCCCACAGTATTTTTTTCACCAACACATACACACTTTTTCTCATAAACAAGCAATCTCATTATCATACTATGATGAGGTACCAAATCCTCATTAAATAGGCTCCTTCATTCCCACAGGACCACAGGTTGGAGGTTTTGTGAAATCTTCCCCAAGAGGGCAGTTATGAAATTTAAACCCAAAGCAACATAAGGCCTCAGATTTTAGTAACAATAACCATATAATTTAATATTTAACATATCCATATTTAATTTTCAAGGATTCTCACTACTTCTTAATAAACACTGTTTACTGTCCCTCATGAGCAAACAATCTATGCCTTTGCTGAGCTGTCCTTCAGACCAATAGGCAAGAGTTAGGTCAGGTTTTCATATTACCTTATTTACTCCCTTCAGCTTATCATTCCCTTCCTTAACTCACAAGGACACAAACATACTGTAAATTTCCACACACAAAGACAACAGCATAGCTGACAGGCTTGTTAAAGGCCTATTCCTTTCCCAGGTTCACCATTCTAACAGTTACAATAAAGATATTACAAGGAATGTTGGTTTTCTGTTTTGCAAATATATAGGATGCTAAAATCTTTACTGAAAAAGTCAAATAAGCCTTTTGAAAAAAACAAAAACTTCTAGTAGATTAAAATCGCACCCTTTCTGCAAAATGAATGGCAGACCTCATACAGCTCTGACAGCTTTTTCCCCCCAAATGCTAAAAGCCTCAAATATGTCTCTTTATGCCACAAAATCAGCAATATATCCCACAATACACTTGTGAGTAGTTTTCACAAGATAACATTCAGCTCTTATTTCACTCATATTCCTGAATTCGTATCTAAGGAACTAAAACAGCCAAGCCCAGAGATGACGTGCTTAAAGCCAAAGTGACCATCAACCCTTATTCAAGATGCCTTCCCTGACTGCTGCCTTTCTTTCACAATTCCAAATTGCCTAGGACACAACAAAAGTGAGCAAACTGCTGGTTTTGAAGCAACATGAGAAACCTTGTAAGAAAAAGAACCATGAGATGCAAGGAAGCCTACGTGAGAAGCAACAGTACCATCAGAATACTGCCTATTTAAAGTAGCTTCCCCAGCCCATAGCCCTTCTCCACACACTCAGGTATTATATAGAGATTTGCTTTCTACTGTTATTCACAGATTCATATTCACTGAATGCACGTACTAAAATCTCATCTGTCTCAAAGAAGGTGGAATCTCAGATAGAGTAAGGATTGTTTGGATGCAGAGTACTGGGGATTAAATTATAGACTTATATCCTAAGGACACATGCTGAATGGCTTTATGGATCTCTATGGTAAGAGTGATTTGGAATAAGGAGTTCAGCATGCATGTCATGGAACTCTGCTTCAAGCAAAAATCAGAATGAGGAAAAAAAAATTCATGATAACGCAAAACTGTACAAGAACAGGGGGTAAAAGATCAAATAGAAGCTTATACTTAAGTGGAAGTTAACAGAATTTCAACTGCAAGAAATTTACCTTTAAGCAAAAAGCTTCAACACCACCAAAGAAAGGGTATGCAAAAAAGCAAATGAGATGGCACAGGCTGGAACATTGCAAGAGAAAAGGTCTAGTTGCAACACTGTGGAGACTGTAAAAGAAAAGGGCAGGAGGGAAGCAGTAGCAAAGGAAAAAAATCCTTATCCATATGGAAGACTAACGGAGATGTGACAAATGTGCCATGTAGAATACTTCTGTAGCACATGACATAAGCAAGGAAGAGCTAAACAACGCAAGTCATTTTTGCTATGGCCAGCAACAAGAATATCTGTGAGATGAAAGAAAAGGAAAACTGAAGAGAGAAACGCTATGAAGAAACAGTATGAACTCAGAACCCAAGAGGTGGCTAGCATTTTATTTTTTTTTAATGTAAATGAGATAAACCTGGAAACTGCTAGCAAAGAAAGCTAAGATATAACATGCCCAAGAAAAACGATGACAGCTAAGGACAGAATTGCAGGAAATTGCAGGAACACAGAAAGGAAAAACATATGAAAAAGAGAACCAGGACAGAATATCCCAGTGTCAGGCTCCAAGAGAAGGCACTGATCAAATGCTGCAACATCTCATCTGTCTTTATTCACAGAGACAGAGAGTACAACTTAAACTTGCGGGGACTGTGGGAATGTATCTTGGCATACCCTGAGAGGATTGTGGGAACTGAAGGGGTGTGTGTCTGGACACGCAAAAGGCAAGAATCGAAACTAGACGTGAAAAGGCAGAATCGAAACCAGGATGTCAGCAGCTGAGTCGACAAGATCACAGAATCACAGAATGTTAGGGACTGGAAGGATATGAGGAAGGAGCCTCGAAACGTATCCAAAGATGTACTCTGGCAAGCAAACAACAAAGGATGCACGCAAAGTCCATCAGCCAGTCGCTCTGCAGAAAAGGGCGCGTGAACAGCTCATGCTACGAGTGAATAGCCAATAACATATTAATGGATGTGTCTGATTTCATCAATCTGGGGTACAAATATAACTGTATTAGAACAAACAAATGGCTTCTTGCTTGATCATATTGATCATCTGCAGAGTCCCTCACTGTGTTCCCACATAAACTCACTCCCTCTTTCTTTCCAGACTAAAGATATCTTAATAGGTTTGTGCCTTTACATACACACTCATATGGTTTTAATTATATGCATCACTTAGGATGCTTAGAAAAGATTACCTACTGAAAAGATAGCCAAAACTAAATTTTGTCAACTCAAATTTACCAAGATAAATGGATAAGACATTGATTTTTACTTAAAGACTTATTTTTTTACAGTCAAAAACCGGTGCATTTTAAAGGTAACATTTTTTGTTCATGAGTTTTCCACTTCTGAATTCTGATTCTGATTCTGTCTCTAGTCTTGGCTTCACTATTCTGACTCAGAAATGGATG